AAGCTGTTAAGGCCAAGAATTTAGGACGCGCGGAACACAGAGCCGACATTAGAGGGATAACCCGTAGATCCGGGGTTGTGTCATCATTACCGATAACAATGCTAGTGGGGATGTTAAGCCTGACAAGTTGAACGGGTGACCCCCGGGGCCGGAAGTGGCAGCCTCCGACTTGCCTGGCTCCAGTCCCCGAGTCTTTGCGGTTTCTTTTGCAGACGGAGGCGACGAAAGCTTGTGCCGCATTGCCCATTTTGAAGCTGGCCGGATGACCCCTGAGCGACCCACGAGCATCAACCGCTTTTTTGCCGTCCTGAAGAATCCCAACTTCTCCCAGCTTGGCGTGGTTTGGAGAAAGCTACGGTCGGCCTTCAAATTTATCCCCATCCATTCCCTTGTGCTGATCTACCGGACGCTCAGCATGGCAGACGTCACGCTCCACCTCTACCTGATACCTAATGACCACTCCCTGCAGAAGGTAAAATAGTTTGGCAAAGGCTGGAAATTGGTGGCAGCGGTGGGATCACGTGATGGTTCCCTGTTGCGTTCACTCCCTCTGGGGCATCTGGCATTGGCCACTGTCGGCAGACAGGACACTGGGCTGGATGCACCTTTGGTCTGACCCCGTCTGGCCGATCTTATGGGTTACTTCTGCCACCCATTGCTGTAATATTTAAGGGTAAAGTCTGGGGGAGCGGGTCAAATCCCCTTATGGCTGCAGTGATAGAGGGTGAATAAATAAAAGTTATTTACTTGTTCCCATAATAGAAGAACTAGTGGACACCAAATGAAATGAATGGGTAGCAGCTTTAAAACTAATAAAAGAAAGTTCTTCACACAGCGTGTAGTCAACCTGTGGAACTCCTTGCCAGAGGAGGCTGTGAAGGCTAGGACTATAATAGAGTTTAAAGAGAAGCTAGATAATTTCATGGAGGTTAGGTCCATAAAAGGCTATTAGCCAGGGGATAGAAATGGTGTCCTTGGCCTCTGTTTGTCAGAGGCTGGAGAGAGATGGCAGGAGACAAATCGCTTGATCATTGTCTTCGGTCCACCTTCTCTGGGGCACCTGGTGCTGGGCACTGTCGGTAGACAGGATACTGGGCTAGATGGACCTTTGGTCTGACCCAGTACGGCCGTTCTTATGTTCTTATGACATTAGTAGAGAGCTGTGTTTTTAACTCTTGGCAGACTAACTGCCAAGGCCATTGAAGCAGCAATTACAATGAGCCAAGGACATGAAGAGCCATGGTCTGCGCTGCCCTGCCCAGTCGCTCACACGTGTGCAGAGTGGATACAAAATGACATGAAAGTAGTGGTGACTGACATTCACTTTGCTCTGCGGTGCACGATTACGTGGGGTGGAAGGAGTGGAGCATCAGGCCCAATGTGTTTACAGAGAGGACTGTAACACCTTTTGCCATGCCACGTGTGTGTGTGTTGCCATGCCGCACGTGTGTGTGTTGCCATGCCACGTGTGTGTGTTGTCATGCCACGTGTGTGTGTGTTGCCGTTTGTGCGTGTGGAGGGACATGGCCCCTCACCAAATATTTGGAATCTTGTCCAACTACTGGAAGTGCAGGATCCTGATTTCATCCCGGCCAATGGGAAATTTCCTACTGACATTAGCGGAACCAGGATTTGGAGATGCCCCTCTTCACGAGGCCCCAGGGCCACCCAAAGGGGAGGGAAAAGGGGCTGTTGTCCTGGGACCTGGTGATTTAAAAGGGACTGGGGCACCCAGCTGTCACCGCCACCCCATCTGGGGGGGCGCAGAGCCAGCACACCCCAGGGCCCTGTTGCCTTCCACCTTGGAGAATAGTTTTTAAAAGTCCAGCTTTCTGCTAGTTTCCATCATTTAGCAGCATCAGGTTTTATATTTCAAGAGCAAAACTCTTCTCGTGGCAAGAGGGTGGAATCGCCGTCACTGGAGAGATTTAAGAGCAGGTCAGACAGACACCTGTCAGGGTGTAACAGTTAACTCGAACTAAGGACTTAGTTCGAGTTAACGTTTGACTGCCGCATGTAGCCGCGGGCAGTTAGTTTGGACTAAGGGGATTTAAAAATAGCGCCCGGACGGGAACATGCAAATAAAGCCCGGGATATTTAAATCCTGGGCTTCATTTGCGACTCCAGTTGCCTGATTTGCCTACTAAGCTCGAATTAACGAGTTAGTGTAGACATACCCCAACAGAGTTTAAAAAAGAGCTAGATACATTCAGGGAGGTTAGGACCATAAAAGGCTGTTAAGCCATCGGGTTAGGAATGGTGCCTCTGGCCTCTGTTTGTCAGAGGCTGGAGAGGGATGGCAGGAGAGATCGCTTGATCATTGTCTTCGGTCCACTGTCAGCAGACAGGACACCGGACTAGATGGACCTTTGGTCTGACCCAGTATGGCCGCTTTTATGGTCTTATGAGCAAGAACCACCTTCAAAACAGGTTGAAAAGGGCTTGGTCAAGGAACAAAACCCATCTCTTTCCCCACTGTGATCACTTTGCACCCATTTTATTGCTGGGAGGGTTGAGGGTTAAGAGAGACGGCGCTCGCTCACTGAAGAATTGGTGACATACGCGGGCAAGGAGCCTATAACACACTCACCAGAGGACTATGTCGATGGAGGTCAATTGTTCCTCAGGTATGATGATGCTTCCCATTCACAGGCCATCGAAGGAAAAGAAACGACGTGGAAATCAACGCACGTGCCCAAACCTCCTCAGACCGACCCTCTGTACTTTGGGTCTCGGTACCAGGTATCCGGTTTGGAAAATCTTCAGATCACCCCGGCGGTAAGTGGTGCTGTTCCCAACCAGCATGGAGGCAGGAAATATTGGGATCCTCCGAATCCGCCGGACGAGGATTCCAAGCGAACGTTGGGGCTAGGAATGCATTCAGATACTTGTCCCCGGGAAAAGGGTTCAATTTGGAATTGTAGGCTACGTCCAAACGACAGCCTTCTTCCGAAAGAGAGATGTAAATCGGACAGCTCGAAATGGCAAATGAAGTCGGAATCTGAATTTCCCGCACGTCATTTGCATGATGACGGCCGCGCAGTCCGTCGAAAAAGGGTTTTTGAAAAGCAAAACCACCGTCTAGACGCGCTTCTTTCAGGAAAAAAAATTTTTCGGAAGAACCGGTAAATCTCATTTTTTCAGGCATTGTGGTTCTTTCGAAAAAGGGGTTTTCCGACAGCGGTTTCACTTCCGAAATACCCATTTTCGAAAGACCGCGCGGCTGCCGTTATGCAAATGAAGCAGGGGCTAGTCAAAACCCGGCTTCATTTGCCGTTTCGACCTCATTTACATCCCTCTTTCGAAAGAGGGATGGCGTTTAGACATCCCCATAGTAGGGTCTTCGGTGGGCTGGGTAGCCTAGTAGTTAGCATCCTGCTGAGGTAGGGTAGAGGTACGAAAGGCCAACCCCACCACACACCGCTTGGCTCTAGACCAGTGGCTCTCACACTTTTTGAGAAACCCTCATGCCCTCCTCCAAAAAACAGCAGCACAATTTGAGAAGAAAAAAAAAAAAAAGATTGTCCTGCCCTTTTAAGAACAAAGTAGGCATTGCCCTTTTAAGGGGACCATTTTGAAATCTGCCCTAGCCAGTCCCAGCTGCTCATGTTCTGGTGGCTGAGCAGACAGACCAACTGAGCTCTTTCCTGAGGGGGGGAATTTGTGGGGGGCTGGGTCACCTCGTGCCCCCCTGGAATTTCTTCATGCCCGCCCCCTAGGGAGCACCCCCTCCAGTTTGGGAACCCATGCTGTAGACCCTCCCTGTTGTCCTCCGCCGTTCTCCCAGGCATGAACAAAAACGGAAAAGGGACCCAAACCGTCAGCCCCCACCGGGCCTCCCAGCCCTGTCCCCAAGAGGTGCGTGCTCTTCAGGGTTGGAGGGGCGGAGCTAGCTGGGCCCAGTGCTGCCCTTTAACCCCGTCCTTCCCAGTGTGGAGGTTGTATGCCCCACACAGTGTGCTTCGGAACGACGGAGATGTCAACGGCGACTCTACCGCCTTTGCCGAGAGTCCGTTGGCTTTTCGCCCTTGTGGGAGAGGCTCGTGGCTTTAGCCCCTGAGGATCTTGCGTGCTCAGGTCTGGGAACTTTCAGGGATGCCTAGGATGGATGAGCCGTGGTGGTTCCCAACTCCTGGGGTTGATGGAGGCCTCGCCCATTGGGTACAGAAAGTCCACGGCAGCTGGTCTTTCACAAGCCAGAGCCTCTGTCTAACCCGGACCTGGCTGGTCCCCCGGCGAGTCCCTCGTGGTTGGAGCCTGGGGCTGTCCGTTCCCACTCTTGGCGCCGGAGGACGAGTCTCCCAACGCCTTCTCCCTTTTGCTTCAGCAACTGGACTTCTGCTACCGGAGCCCCGGGGAGCAGCAGTCGTTTGTGGAGATCTACACCCGGGAGATGAAGAAGGAAATCCGGCTCCAGGTGCAGGGCCAAGAGGACGGCAGCTTGGTCTGGGAGACCTTGGTGAGGCCAGGTAGGTCCAGTGACTTGTGACTCGTGAGGGCCCTCAACCCATTCACATCAGGGGGAGACTTTCCATTGACTTCTTTGGCTTGTGGCCGTCAGAAGTGATTTCTCCTGCACCAAGGCCAAACCAAGCTGTGGCCCAAACACTGCTAGGCACCCTCCCCCACATCCAACCAGGGTGTGCCCACCATGCCCGCTCCGTGGTGGGACTCATAGAATCCTAGAATGAGATCTCCCTCGCCGAGGCCGATGACTGGTTCCCCCGAACCAAGCTGTGGCCTAAACACTGCTAGGCACTCCCCGCGTCCATCTAACCAGGGCGTACCCATCATGCCCTTGAATGAGAAGCGACCTCAAGAGGGCATCAAGACCAGTCCCCTGTCCTCACAGCAGGACCAAGCCCCATCTAGACCAACCCTCGTAGATGTCTACCCAACCTGCTCTTCAATATCTCCAGCAATGGAGATTCCACAACCTCCCATCCCGTGTCCTCACGGCAGAACCAAGCCCCGTCTAGACCATCCCTGGTAGATGTCTGTCCAACCTGCTCTTCAATATCTCCAGTGATGGAGATTCCACAGCCTCCCGTCCCTTGTCCTCATGACAGCGCCAAGCCCCGTCTAGACCATCCCTGGTAGATGTCTATCCAACCTGCTCTTCAATATCTCCAGCAATGGAGATTCCACAACCTCCCGTCCCTTGTCCTCACGACAAGACCAAGCCCCATCTAGACCATCCCTGGTAGATGTCTACCCAACTTGCTCTTCAATATCTCCAGCGATGGAGATTCCACAACCTCCCAATGCCTGTGGCTTGTCCCCTGGACGCTAGTAGCAGTAGAGATGAATGAGTCTGCCACAGTCCCTGGCCTCTCCCCTTCGTTATCCTCCCCTGCAGCCTAAGATGCCCACCAGCCATGGGGGTCCGGAGAAGAGGGGCAGGAGGTGTCAGGGAATGGTCAGAGAGTAGGGGCATTGGATAGGGGGCAGGAGGAGCAGTGGGGGTTGGATAGGAGGTGAAAGTTGTAGGGGGTCTGTCAGGGAGCAGGCAGGTTGAATAGGGGGCAGGAGATCCCAGAGAAGCAATGGTGATTCCCGAAACGATTTTCAGAAGATCGACCAACTCTTTGACGGTTGCGTGTGGGAAGGAAGCTCCCCCAGTCTAGCTTTAAGGACAGGTCGGACAGCGGGCGAACCAAGGAACTCTAGAAATCAGACACTGCCCTCGGCCTCTGACAATCCCCCAAGCACGAATCAACTGGCCTAATCCCTCGCTTCTTTCTTCCAGGAGATGTAAGACTTCCTGCTTCGCCCTCCCTCGGGCTCCCAGGTCAGTGCGATTTTTTTTTAACCGTGCTTTGGAGTTTACACAGTCTGTGCCCGTTCTTGTCCTCCGGCTTGAAGCATAGACACGAGGGCACCGTCTCTATCCCCGTGACCACAACACCCTTGTTAAGGTTGCAAAGAGGCATCCGTTCCCACTGCGCTGCCGAAATCGGACCAGAATACCGAGAGTTAGCAACAGCCAAAACCTTTCAAAGCCAAGAAATGCAAAGTCAAAGTTTTAAGAGGATTAAACAAACCACGAAGTGTTCAAAGTTTTTGATAATTCCCCAAACAACCTTAACTCTGCCCTTTGTGCCCTGGGCACAAAATGGACATTAGCAGCAACGTTAAACGTTTCTTATGCCGTTTGCCCTCTGCACAGAGTAAAATTTGCTCTGGGTGGGGTAGGGATGCTTCTACACCCGTCCTGCAATGCTGAGCTGTGAAATTTCTCCTCTCCCCGTGCTGGCTAGCTTCATTACGCCTCTGATCTTCAGTCTTTGTTGTGTTTATTCTCACCCACCTGGTGTGGGAGGGTAGAGCTGGGGCCCAGCTGGGAGCCTAGACATAGAGAGGCTGAGTGACTTGCCCGAGACCACACCGGAAGTCGGTGGCAGATCAAGGACTTGACCCCTGGTCTCAAGTTGGTGCCCGAACCCTCTGCCCAATCTCTCCTCTGCCAGGGAGGCTACTCTACAGCAGTGTTTTGTAAACCTTTTAAAACCAAGGAACACCAAACAATTTTTTTTTATGGGGAACACCGAGGATTTTTTTGTTGAGGGAAGAAAAGCGCCCAAGAAAAAGTTGTTGAGTTCTAAGACTTATCCCTTTAAGGGCAGCCATTTTGAATTCTGTTCTCTCCACAGCACACCAGTGGTACCATGGAACACACACTAAGAAACACCGATCTAGACCATCCCTGGTAGATGTCTATCCAACCTGCTCTTCCATATCTCCCATTAAAGGCGGCCATTCCCCAGACAAAAAAAAAGGAGACTTATCCCTTTAAGGGCAGCCATTTTGAATTCTGTTCTCTCCACAGCACACCAGTGGTACCCTGGAACACACTTTAAGAAACACTGATCTAGACCATCCCTGGTAGATGTCTATCCAATCTGCTCTTCCAAATCTCCCATTAAAGGCGGCCATTCCCCAGACAAAAAAAAAAGGAGGCTTATCCCTTTAAGGGCAGCCATTTTGAATTCTGTTCTCCTCCCCGGAACACACTTTAAGAAACACCGATCTAGACCATCCCTGGTAGATGTCTATCCAATCTGCTCTTCCAAATCTCCCATTAAAGGCGGCCATTCCCCAGACAAAAAAAAAAGGAGGCTTATCCCTTTAAGGGCAGCCATTTTGAATTCTGTTCTCCTCCCCGGAACACACTTTAAGAAACACCGATCTAGACCATCCCTGGTAGATGTCTATCCAATCTGCTCTTCCAAATCTCCCATTAAAGGCGGCCATTCCCCAGACAAAAAAAAAAGGAGGCTTATCCCTTTAAGGGCAGCCATTTTGAATTCTGTTCTCCTCCCCGGAACACACTTTAAGAAGCACTGAGCTACACTTAGCCACTGCTAAGAACTGTTTTCCCGGTTCGCATCTCAAACCTTCTCCCACGTGGTGATCCCCTTAACTCTGCCCCACCATAGGATGGCCTGAATCGTTAACAGGGATGTCCTAGACCATCAAAGTTGGCTCAGATCAGCAGCCCTCTGCTGATGTCGGAGGTCTTTACCTACCAGAAACGTGCCCCGTGCTTTGGCCTAGCGGAGGGGAGGAACTGGGGGAGGAGGAGGTCATGTCTTTCACGTGCAGCAGCATAACGCAGGGCTGGTGTCTCCATTAGGGGCGGCCTTTCTGGCGAAGCACCGGCTGCAGCTCCGCGATCGAATGGGGCTGCTCAACTCCATGCTGGCCCGCTTCCGGGACGCCCAACTCCTCAACAGCGAGGAAGAGGAAGAGGTGAAAAGCCACCAGACCAGCAAACGGCGGAACGACGCCTTACTGAAGCTGGTGGAGAGGAAGGGGATTCGGGCACAAGAGAAGCTGTACCAAATCCTCCGGGAGACAGACCCATGCCTCGTAGAGGACTTGGAGGCATCCCAGTAGGGTCAGGAGAACTTCCTCTTGGCCACAAGCACTGAGGGCTACTGCCGTGGCCAGTCGTCACGGAGAAATATGTTTGAGGAGATTTGCAAGCCACGCCACTGGGCCACCACCACGAGGAGTCGGAAATCTGTGGGGATTCCCCTGCAGAGCGGACCCTCTGACACGTGGCCATCAGGCCTCACCGAAAGCAGCCCTGACTCCTCGTCCAGTGCCGTCACTGTTAGGCCTCCTTTCCTAGCACAGGCGCTGCTGTGGATGCTCTGGAGAACGTCCAGGGGAGGGCAACCGAAACGAGGAGAGGTGGAGGGATCTGGGCTTTTTTGCTCCACAGAAGAGCGAGAGGGGATTGGAGAGCAGCCTTCAACTCCCTGAAGGGCGGTTCCAAAGAGGATGGAGGGAGGCTGGAGATGGCTGGCAGAACGAGGAGGAGGTCTAGGTTGGAGATGAGGAAAAAATGTCCCGAGGAGGGTGGGGAAGGCCTGGAACGGGTGGAATCTCCATCTCTAGAGATTTGGAAGGTCCAACGTGACCAAGCCATGGCTGAGATGAGTGAGGGTGAAGGGCGGGAAAATGGGCCGTTGAGGCCGAAACGGGGCTACCACCATGCCCAACGGCATGACGGCTGTTGCCGTGGAAATGTCTCCCTGGCAACAGGAACCATGAAAACAGCGTGGACTCGCCATCCCTAGAGGTTTTGAAGGCCCGGCTTGACCAAGCCCTGGTTGGGTTGATTGAGTTGGCTTGGTCTTGCTTTGGACTTGATGACCTCTTGAGGTATCTTCCACCCCTAGGAGTCCATGACACCTGTAAGAACTTCTCAGGAGAGCCATGCGTCATGCCGAGAAGTACCTCCTTCACGCGTCTTCCACCACAGCCTTGCTTTTAGAGACCAGGCGAAACTCTTCCTCTCTTCAGACAGTCACTCTCCCGTGGGACTCAGAACGTCATCCGTTCAGCATCGGGGGACTCCGTGTTCAGCCCTCATGGTGGCAGAGTGACTCCTCACCGAACTAAAACCGAACGGTTGCTGATATCCAAGCGATTGTGACTTCATTGCGTTGATCGTGTGCCAACAGGACGGTGCTTCTGAAGGGTCCACGTCACGAAGACTACACGAGAGAGAGATCTTGGAGCCGTTGCGGGTCGTTCTCTGAAAACATCCACTCAGTGTGCAGCGGCAGGCAAAAAAGCCAACACAATGTGCAGAATCATTAAAAAAGGGATCGAGAATAAGACAGAGAATCTCTTAATGCCTCTCTATAAAACTATGGGACACCCACATCTTGAATATGGCGTACAGATGTGGTCACCTCCTCTCCAAAAAGATCTCTCGGCATTGGAAAAGGTTCAGAAAAGGGTTACAAAACTGATTGAGAGTTTGGAACGGGTCCCCTATGAAGAGAGATTAAAAAGACGGGGACTTTTTAAGCTTAGAAAAATCATGACTGGGGTGGAAAAAGTGAAGAAGGAAAAATTGGGTCTGTCTACACTTGCACCCTTTTTCACCATCCCTGTAACTCTCGTTTGACGAGGATGAAGGGATAATTCGGAAAAGACTGACCGCAAGAATGTGATGTATGTGAGTATCACTTTACGCTTAAGAATCTGTACCAATAAACAACCCTAAAAACAATAGTGTTCCAGCTCACCCAGTGTCTGGCTTTGTTCCTCAGTAGGTCTGTGGAAGTGCAGCAGACGTAACCTCCATGATCTAGCTCGTTTCTGAACCCTGTTAAAGTCCTAGCCTCCACCACATCCTCGGGCGAGGAGTTCCACAGGTTAACTGCGCTGCGTGAAGAAAAACTTCCTTGGGTTTGGTTTAAACCTGCTGCCTATTCATTTCATTGGGTGACCCCTGGTTCTTATATTGTGGGAATACGTCAATAACGGGATGTCTACCCTTTCGAGAGAGGGATGCAAATGTAGACATTCGAAATTGCAAATCAAGTGGGGATTTAAATATCCCACACTTCATTTGCATAATTGCATCCAGCCGCTCTTTCGAAATCGCGCTATTTTGAAATACCAGGCGCTGTTTAGACGCGGTTATTTCGAGAGAAAACCCTTCAAACTGTTTTGCATCTGACCTTGTTGCAGATTCAAGAAGTTCGGATGGCGTGAGCCCACAAGAAGCAGATGACAAAACCTGCCCCCTTCCCTCCTCTTCCTTCTCCCCAATTTATTTTGTGTCTGCACATCCTAAACTCAAAACTCCGGTTATCTGAAAAATTGGGCTGTGCCCACGATACCTCATGAGCCCATCTACAAGTTTTGTTAGTCTATAAAGCGCTACCTGACCATTTGTTGTTTTTTAAGTTTATCCTGTACAGAGTAACTTGGCTACCCTTGAAGCTTCCAGTTTGGTTTTTGCTACCCAAAAAATAAGAAATCCAGAACGCAATCTCATTTTCTTGGGTTTCGCTGCCCCAACGACCAGCCACAACCTGGCCCATCACAAGATATTGAACCTTATAAAGCATTGAAGTACGTTCAGGATTAAATGCCGAATACCAAAAGTTTCACACACACAGAACGGGAAGCGACTGTCTAGGAAGGAGTCCGGCAGAAAGGGATCTAGGGGTCAGAGCGGACCACAAGCTGAATATGAGTCAGCCGTGTGATGCTGTTGCAAGAAAAGCAAACATGATTCTGGGAGGCATGAACAGGTGTGTTATGAGAAAGACACGAGAAGTCGTTCTTCCGCTCTGCTCTACGCTGGTTAGGCCGCGTGTCAAGAAAGATGTGGAGACATTGGAGAGGGTCCAGAGAAGAGCAACAAGAATGACGAAAGGTCTAGAGAACATGAGCTATGAGGGAAGGCGGAAAGAATTGGGTTTGTTTAGTTTAGAAAAGAGAAGATTGAGGGGGGACAGGAGAGCCGTTTTCAGGTATCTAAAGGGTGTCACAAGGAGAAAATTTGTTCCTCTTGGCCTCTGAGGATAGAACAAGCAGCAATGGGCTTAAACGGCAGCAAGGGAGGTTTAGGTTGCACATCAGGAAAAAGTTCCTAACTGTCAGGGTGGTGAAACGCTGGAATAAATTGCCCAGAGAGGTTGTGGAATCCCCATCTCTGGAGATATTTAAGAGTCGGTTAGAGAAATGTCTAGCAGGGATGGTCTAGACAGTATTTGGTCCTGCCATGAGGGCAGGGGACTGGACTCGATGACCTCTCGAGGTCCCTCCCAGTCCTAGGATTCTAGGATTCATTACGGCTAGAGAGCCAGAATACTTTCCTCTGTGTTCAGGGCAGTATAGCCTAGTGGTCACATAGCCTGGATACTTCACTCTGTGTTCAGGGCAGTATGGCCTAGCATTCACAGAGCCTGGATACTTCCCTATGTGTTGAGGGCAGTACGGCCTACCAGTCACAGAGCCTGGATACTTCCCTATGTGTTGAGGGCAGTACGGCCTAGCAGTCACAGAGCCTGGATACTTCCCTATGTGTTGAGGGCAGTACAGCCTAGTGCTCACAGAGTCACTACACAGCCTGGCCACCATGGCTTGGTCCCTCGGTGCTTCCTCCCCACAGATCCAACAGCACCTCCTTCCCCAGGGGCCGTCAGCCCTGACTGGGCAGCTCCACAGGTCTTTATAGCCGGCCTCCACTTGGAGCATGCCCAGTAGGTCCGTGGGGGCGGGGCCTCCTCTGTCGGGTTGGTACCCGTCACACCCCCGACACTGGTTCCTTAGATGAAGCTTGCCCGGCTTAGTGGGGCGTCTGCCACCATTGACCAAGAAAGGGTAAACCAGGCGGGGAGACGCCGGCGCAGAGCACCGGGCCAATCAGAGAGAGGGTTTTAAAGAGCCAATCAGGGTGCAGTTTGCTGGGGGTAGCCCTGTATATAAGGAGCTGCCCAGCAGCCAGCAGTTGGGCCAAAAGGGCTAGAGAGGTTCGGGACACCGCAGTACCCTGGTGGGGCCGAGAGGCCACCGTATTGGTGACAGCTTAGTAGGTCCCATAACAGACATCTGACCTCCTGCTCCTTCTCAGTGTGATACCCGGTGCAACCAGTAGGGGGCGCTGTCGCCCAGTGATTATTCCTCTTTCTATTGTCGGGGAGATACCCGGCGCGACCAGTAGGGGGCGCTGTCGCCCAGTGATTATTCCTCTTTCTATTGTCGGGGAGATACCCGGCGCGACCAGTAGGGGGCGCTGTCGCCCAGTGATTATTCCTCTTTCTGTTGTCCGGCGAGGACAATACACTTGTCTTGGGAACAAGCCGGGGCCTCTTCAACGTGAGGTGGATTAGGGCCCCGGCAGGCCTCAATCCAGGCAACCTCTTTGGGGTCTGAGGCTGCTGCCCCCCCAAAAATCAGGCCAGGGCGGTGAGGAACAAATCCACAAACCTCACAGACGGGACCGAGACAACATCGTCGATTTCTCTCTCTCCCCCCTTCTCTTCCCCTCTCCTATTTATTTCAAGTGTTCATGTCCCCTACTCATCACTCCAGCCATCTGAAGAAGGGGGCTGTGCCCACGAAAGCTCATGATCCCAGCTACATGTTTTGTTAGTCTATAAAGTGCTACCAGACCATTTGTCGATTTTGGGGGGGGGAACCCCTTCATCTCTAGGGAGGGGCCAAAAATGAGGGGTCCCGTGCGTTGGAGGCGGGTGTCCAAGAAGCCGGCGTGGGGTCTAGGCAGGAGGAAGAGCCCGAAGCAGGCTGGGAGGGGAGTCCCGATTTTTAGGGACTGGCAAGGCCCGGAAGTTGAAAAGAGATCCAGGGGGAAGAACAGGAGGAGGGCAGGAAACGGGAGAAGGGGGGACAGGGACACGGTGTCGTGTGGTTCGATTTATTTTAGATCCAAGGGAAACCAGGACACTTAACCTCTTTCTTATTCATGGCCAGTGAATACAGTTGCTTAAGTTTTCAAGCGTTAAAAACGATGATTCTACCATGTCAACCTTCGATACGATAAATTCAAAAGCAATTAATACAGCCCAAAGCACTGTATACACCGTCATTAAAAGATCTACTCTTTACAATACGAAACCTTAATTCACAACTTCACCCATATGTGACCGACGGTGCTAGGCCAGAAGGTACGCCCATAGGAACGCCACCTCGACGTAGCCGTGCGAAGTGCCGAATCACGTCTAGTTACAACAAGCAGGATGTGTGGGTCGATCCCACAGATTCCCTCCCACCGATTGTTCTTACTCACCCCAATTTATAGCAAAATGAGACTTGGTCGTTCTAATACTATTTACCAATCGATGTCGCGTTGGGTAGGATACGTTAAAATTCTCAGCGCCCCCTAACTCAGGATGTTGCTCATATGTGCGTGGTTGACAGTTTCATGGCTGCATCGGGACTTTTGGGGTATCAGAACAAAAGTACAGGCGACCCCTAGCACTTACAACCTCACTGGTTCCTGGAGAACCATCGTAAGTCAAACCGTGGTAAGTCAAAGCCTAACTTCCCAATGTTATTAATGACGGTTCTGTTCCTGGAAACCCATTTCATACCCGAAAAATACCAGACTTGACTACAGAAATGGAGGAAAACTAAACTAAATCGTTCAAATCGTGCACAAAAAAATCACAAAAAAGTGAAGGCCGAGATGTGCAGAGATTCTGCGTGTCTGACTGACGTACATTTCCTGTTTTGGAAGGACGCATGGAGTCTGCGTCATGAGCTGTCGTAAATGCGAGCTGTCGACGTCAATTGGAGGGGATTACGAGCTATCTTGTGTGAAAAAAATGGTTGGAAATGTGGGGGGTTGTGAGTTGGGCAGCTGTAAGTCGGGGATCGCCTGTAAGTTGTGTGGTTGTAAGTTGGGGGTTGCCTCTAAGTCAGATGGTGGTAAGTCGGGGGTCATCTGAAAGTCGGGAGCTGATAAGTCGGGGGTTGCCTGTGAGTTGGGTGGTTGTAAGTTGGAGGTCGGCTGTAAGCCAGTTAGTGGTAAGTAGGGAGTCACCTATGAGTCAGGCGGTTGTAAGTCAGGGTCACCTGTGAGTCGGGCGGTGGTAAATCAGAGGTCACCTGTGAGTCGGGCACTTGTAAGTTAGGGATCACCTGTGAGTCAGGCAGTTGTAAGTCGAGTGTCGCCTGTGAATCGGGTGGCGGTAAGTTGAGGGTCACCTGTGAGTTGGGGGGTGATAAATCAGGGGTCGCCTGTAAGTCAGGCAGTTGTAAGTCGGGGGTCGCCTGTACCAGTACGAGGCCACTAGGCCTGTGTTCTTGACGTGGTCTCCTGTATCCAGCTTCTCCGGTGTTGTTCTGCAAAACATTTCCTGACTCTCCCCGCTTTCTTTCTTAACCCAGCTTTGCCTGCGGGCTTTGTCACACCAGACTTGAGACCGGCCAGAAATCCGCACTTTGGACAAAGCCAACAGCCCCACGTATTGCGTAGGCAGGGGGGTGCAGTCTCCCCCCCCACACATGGGAAAGAGGCGGGGAAAGGCAAGCCGAGCGGAGCGGGAGAGGAATCCTTTTTTGGAGAGAAAGGGAAGGAAATTGCTTCACCGTGGCTGCAGGCCAGACGTGGACTTGGCAGAGCAGGGGGCGAGCGAAGAGAAGCGGGCAGCCTCTGGGGGGCAGAGGCAGGCGATGAGGGGTTAACCTGAGAAGGGGGCACTGAAAGGGGGCCCCGCCACGGAGGAGGAAATCCAGCAGCCTCGGGAGTTTTGTTTTGAAGCCCTGGACGCACCCAGTCCCGGGCAGCCGGCCAACGAGCAGTTTCGTTTTCTGAGGAAGTGACGGGTCCGGGGAGCAGGACGGGAGAGAAGGCGGACGGGGCCCGGGGATCCCTTCGCCCTCGTTGGGGGGCAGAACACAGCCCAGAATCCAGAGCAGGGGGGCTCGGAGAAAGCCACCCCCCGGATCTGAGCACAGCCGGGTGACCCAGCATGGAGCCAACCCGCCCGGGGAAATCTGCAGCTACAATCTTTGTGAAAACCCTCACGGGCGAGACTCTGTCGGTGGACGTGTATTTGGACGAGACCGTGCTGGATCTGAAGAGGAAGATCGAGGACCGAGAAGGAGTTCCAGTCGACCAGATGCGTCTGACAGCCTCAAATCCAAGCAGACAGCTGAACAATGACTGGACCCTGCGGCGCTCGGGGCTGACCGATGGCTGCGTCGTCCATTTGATTCTAAAATGTAAGCTCAGGGCGAGGCCCAGAGGGCGAGAAGCGGCTGCATGGGGGGGGACAGAGTGGGAGGGAGGGGGAGTGTCCTCCCCAGGGCTTATCTTTGGGGAGCACCCGAGGGATCACACCATCCAGATCAAGGAGAGACAGAGCAACGGGGCCCCCAACCGGCACTGGAGACTTTACGTTTGTTCTTTCTTAGATGTGTTTTGCTAACCCCCTGCTGCTAGAGGTGGGGAGAGGCCATCCCTAGATAGCCGTCCTATAGGGGAAACAGCTACTGGAACATGCCCAGCATGGGTAGGAGGGAAGAGGAAGGAAACCCATCCTCCGCCCCTCCTTTTCTCCATTATTATTGACATTTATTATTATTGATAATTCTACCATATCCAACTTGTAATGAACCGATGCCATTCTCCGATTCTTTACGATCTTCCTGTAGCTTTAAAACTCCTGTTTAGTCTTCCTTCCTCTGCCATGGACAGCACCCTTTGGATTCCCTTATCAATTGTCTACAATTCCTGATTTCAATCCATTAGTGTCAACTTTCCCTTTCTTCCATTAGTGGAATGTATATTTTTCTTTTGTATCGCTCCCTTCACATCCCGTTTAAAAAGAAACAGCCAGGCCTTCTTTCTAGACTGGGATAGGAACGATTTGGGATTCATGAAAAAGAGGATAGAGACGGATTTTTTTAAAAAACAGTCTGGCCTTTTTTTCTAGACTGGGATAGGAATGATTTAGGAATCATTAAAAAAAGGGAGAGAGAGAACAAGGCAGAAAATATCTCACTGCCGCTACATAAAACCATTGAACGTCCACATCTTGAATATTGAGTACAGATGAGGTCAGCTCATCTCAAAAAAGTTAAATTCTGAACTTAAAAGGTTCCGAAAAGGGCAACAAAAATGATGAGGGGTTTGGAACGGGTCCACATTTAAAAGACTTCAACTTTTCAGCTTAGGAGACAAAGGCGGGACGGGATAGAGGTCTATAAAACCATGACTGGTATGGAAACCGTAAACAACAAAAAGTTCTTTCCTTATTCCCACAATATAAGAACTAGGGGTCACCAAATGAAATGAAGAGGCAGCAGGTTTAAACCAAACCAAAGGAAGTTTTTCTTCACTCGACGCACAGTCAACCTGTGGAACTCCTCGCCAGAGGATGGTGTGAAGGCCAGGGCTTCAAACAGGCTTAAAAAGGAACTAGATAAACAAGCAGAAGGATGGTGTGAAGACCAGGACTTGAATAGGGTTCAAAAAAGAGCCAGATAGATTCATGGAGGTTAGGTCCATCAATGGCTGGGTAGGAGTGTGTCCCTAGCCTCTGTTTCTCTGGAGGTGGGTGACGGGAGGGATCATGTAAGGATTATCCGTTGTGTCCACCCCCTCTGGGGCATCTGCCATTGGCCACTGTCCGCAGACAAGATCCTGGGCTAGTCCTGGGCTAATTGGCCCTTAGGTCTGACCCAGTCTGGCCATTCTTATGCGATCCTGTGGGGCATCTCATCAGGTGTTCCGAAACGATTCCCGTTTATCATTCCCGTTTTGTTTTTTTTTAATTAAATTCTTCTTCCAAACTGATTTGCCTCCTAACGGGTCTTAACACGGCACCGATTCTATATTAAGAGTCGGGACTTTGCTTTCACATTACAATCATCGGATTGTAACCGCTGGTCGCCTCAGCGACCGTTAACGTATAGATCTCCAATTGGTATTTTTTTTAATCTGTGTGGACAAGATCTAATCGAGAATTCCTCTCCTCTCCCTCCCCCGCCCCCCTGGGATTGCCTGCAACATTTTTTGTTACGAAATTAGTGTCTAGGATGGTGAGAAATTCCACACACGTTTCGTACCGGCAGCATGAAATCTTCACCAGACGTTGCTCAAATTAAAATCCTCCAGCATCACACTGGATTTCCTATCATTTATGGGTAAGGAGGTGATAGGCTGGACAATCGAGCTCCGCCTGTAGAGGGGTGGGGTTTATTCGCTAGTGGGAGGAGCTTAGATTCCATTCTAAGGGGCGGAGCGGGAAAAGGGCCCAGGTCTCACTCTCTGATGTCTGTTTCGCAGTGCGTGGTGGACACATGCCGACAACCCCCCTTCTTCCAGGTAAGAGCTTCCTGTTTTAACCCGTTGAACGTTTTCCCTTTAAAACAGCTGCTCGGGGGAAGAGAGCAACAGGTTGGATTCCAGGTCTAGGAAAGGTATTATCCTTTACTGGAGATCCCCGCCATATCTTGCGTGCAAGGCTTAAACCCAGTGACGGTGGGTCCATGAACGTCGCCAGGAAGCCGGGACAGCCAATGAAAATAGAATATGGGCTTTTGAATTGTGGGGGAAAAAAACACCCAGAATTCATCTGCGGTAGCCCGTCTTGGAACGTCTACACTGCAACGTGGCCTTTTGTCGACAACACCCTGTAGTCTGGACACACCCCTGGAGTTGGAAGAGACCTCAGAAGGTCATCAAGTCCAGCCCCCTGCCCAAGGTAGGACCAATCTCAACTCGGCTTCGACAGGGCTTCTAGGCCGGTGATCCTCCCAGGTTTTCTGGTGGCCTCACGGAGTCACCACCAACCCGACACGACTTCATTCACTTTATAGAACCGTACGGTTGGACGAGACCTCAGGCGTCATCAAGTCCAGCCCCCTGCCCAAGGCAGGACCAAGCCCAACTCAATCAACTCGGCCAAGGCTTGGTCAAGCCAAGACTTAAACACCTCTAGGGATGGAGACTTCACCGCCTCCCTAGGGAAGCCAGCCCAGTGTTTCCACATCCTCCTCAGAAAATCGTTTTTCCTAATCTCCAAACTAGACCTCTCCCACTATAACTTGAGCCCTTTCTGCCATCCGTCACCCCTGAGAACAGCCTCTCTCCAGCCTCTTTGGAACCTCCCTTCCGGAAGTTGAACGCTGCTCTCAACTTCCCCTTCTGTCTCTGGTATCCGTCCTATGTCCGGATGGGTCGCCAATCCTTTCCAGATCTTTCTCTTGCAAGGCTGCATCTGGGATCAGAAGCAGAACTGAAGCCAAGATGGAGTCCGCTTCATGGAGTCCGCTTTTGATAGGATAACGAGCCTTGTGGATAAGGGAGAAGCGGTGGATGTCATATACCTAGACTTTAGTAAGGCATTTGATACGGTCTCGCATGATATTCTTATTGATAAACTAGGCAAATATAACTTAGATAGGGCCACGATAAGGTGGGTGCATAATTGGCTGGATAACCGTAGTCAGAGAGTTGTTGTTAACGGTTCTAAATCCTGCTGGAAAGGGATAACAAGTGGAGTTCCTCAAGGGTCTGTTTTGGGACCCGTACTGTTCAATATCTTCATCAATGATGTAGATATTGGGATAGAGAGTACTCTTATTAAGTTTGCAGATGATACCAAACTGGGTGGGGTTGCAACTTCTTTGGAGGATAGGGACATAATTCAAAATGACCTTAGCAAGTTAGAGAAATGGTCAGAGGTAAACAGGATGAGGTTTAATAAGGAGAAATGCAGAGTGCTCCACTTAGGAAGGAACAATCAGTTCCATACATACAAGATGGGAAGCGACTGTCTAGGAAGGAGCATGGCGGAAAGGGATCTAGGGGTCATAGTGGACCACAAGTTGAATATGAGTCAACAGTGTGATGCTGTTGCCAAAAAAGCAAATATGATTCTAGGTTGTATCAACAGGTGTGTTGTAAGCAAAACTCGTGAAGTCATTCTGCCGCTCTACTCTGCACTAGTTAGGCCTCAGCTGGAGTACTGTGTCCAGTTCTGGGTGCCACATTTCAAGAAAGATGTGGAGAAATTGGAAAGGGTACAGAGAAGAGTGACAAGAATGATTAAAGGTCTAGAGAAGCCTATGAAGCCAGGCTTCATGAACTGGGCTTGTTTAGTTTGGAAAAAAGAAGATTAAGGGGGGACATGATAGTGGTTTTCAAATATCTAAAAGGGTGTCACAAGGAGGAAGGTGAAAATTTGTTCCTCTTGGTTTCTGAGGACAGGACAAGGAGTAATGGGCTTAAAGTGCAGCAGGGGAGGTTTAGATTGGACATTAGGAAAAAATTCCTAACTGTCAGGGTGGTCAAATATTGGAATAAATTGCCAAGGGAGGTGGTGGAATCTCCCTCTCTGGAGATATTTAAGAACAGGTTAGACAGACATCCTGTCAGGGATGGTGTAGACGGAGCTTGGTCCTGCCTTGAGGGCGGGGGGCTGGACTCGATGACCTCTCGAGGTCCCTTCCAGTCCTATTATTCTATGATTCTATGATTCTATGGCATTTTATAGCCATCCCTAGTCTCTTCCAAGCTGGAGCGCGTCACATGGCCCAGTGAAGTATCCCTGTGTCCCATGCCAGCAGCCATTAGATCTGCCTGATTTGCAGGTGTCCAGATGCATTCCTCAGGTGGGTACTGGGCACCTTGAGAGCCATTGTCCGTGGAGCCATGCTCATTAGCATAGTCATCGACTTAACAATCCATCATTACAGCAGTCCAGGCTCATCGCTCTGTCTCAGACAGAGAACACTCACAGGACCAGCACATAGCCCATATGCATAACTCCACATACAGACACCACACAAGTACTTGAGTAGCCTACCTAGAATGAGTAGAACATAAGCTTTCATTTGACACCTCACATGGCCCCTTTTGGATAGACTTTCGGGCACCCCCCCCATGGGTGCAGCAGCAATCTGCCTGCTCCCCCTAAAATCCAATAATGTGACACCAAGCAATGAAATAATGCCTCACCAAACACATCAGGGATGGTCTAGACAGTATTTGGCCCTGCCGTGAGGTCAGGGGACTGGACTCGATGACCTCTCGAGGTTCCTTCCAGTCCTAGGATTCTATGATCCTATCTTCCTCCTTGCATGAATAAACTCCCCTTTTTCAGATAATGATCAGCAAGGCTGGACAATTAGGGCAATGGCGAGTAGATTTTAGCCTGGTGTGGGTGGTTAGGGCCAGATTTCTCTCCTAGAAGGCAGGAGGCTGTATGTGTACAGGCCAGAGAGGGTGTGTCTAGACTACAAGAGTTTTTTCGACAAAAGTGGACTTTTGTCGACAAAACTATACCTGCGTCTACACTACTGCTGAGTTCTGTCGACATAACGTCAGCAGTTTTGTCGACGCTGGTAAACCTCATTTTACGAGGCATAACGCCTTCTGTCGACAGAGTTCTGTCGACAGAAGGTGTTATTGCATGTAATGTTGTGTCTAGACTACAGGGTTTTGTCAACAAAGCAGCTTCCTTTGTTGACAGAACTGGATGTGTCTAGACGCTCTTTGTCAACAGAAGCTTTGTCGACAGTATCAGTCGACAAAACTTCTGTCGACAAAACCCTGTAGTCTAGAGGTACCCAGACTGTGGGTCCATCTACACAACGTTAGCTCGGAATAACGCACATTCTTCAGAAACAACATAAGCTGCGTCGACACACAAGAATTCAACTTACGGTACATCTGGACTGCAGAGTTTTTCCCGGGACGCCGAAAGTTCTGCTGTGCCCGAGGAACATGTCTAAAAAAATTTCGGAAAAGCAGACACGTTTTTTGGGGCATCCCTGTCAACCTCGTTTTATGAGGAAGAAGGGATGTGCTGAAAGAGGGATTTTTCCCGACATATGACCCCGTGTAGGCAGGCCAAATGTTGGAAAAGAGTCTTTTGGAAGAAAAGCAGAAAAGGAGACGTATCTGTTTCCGACTTTTCTTTGTGGTCTAGACACACCCAGAGTGTCAACATGACATCCAGCTGGAGGACTTCTTACTCCGACTCATTTTTATGAGAAGTCGGAGCAAGAATGTTCAGTCTCAGACTTACTGCTACGTAGACAGCGCCAAAAGCTGAATGAAGCTATTTCGACTGAAGCTTCGCCATTGACGTAGCTCAAGTTGCGTCGCTTACTTCGGATTTAGCCCGGCTGTGTCGACGCACCCTGAATTAAGAAATACGTTTAGTTTCAGCTCTCTGCAGACGGAGGGTTAAAAAGGCATTTCTGTCTGGCTTCTCAACGGCGTTTTCCCAGTGGGGTGGTGGCAACGTGCTACCCACCGTCAGAGAATCGGTGACTTTGGGGAGTTTTTAAGCAGAAGCCTTCAGTGGCAGGTTGTGGGAAGACAAAATTATGGGGGAAGGAAGTGGTGTTACTAACCCAAACGAGGAGGGAGAGGTACCCAACTGCTGTCTTGCTACCTGGGCTGCGGTAGGTTCGTCCCCCGACCGTGATCTCAAACGATGTGATTTCTCCTGCCATTTCAGTCTTGGACTTTCCTACGGTAACGGCACCAGGCAAGGAAAAAAGCCAGCTACTCCACCCGGCATCTCCAGACACGGAAGAACCCGAGGAACCGCCACGTAAGAGGCCATGGGGGGAAAAAAATGACAAATGGGGTGATACAGGAATCAAAACCATCCGAAACAACCATGAAATGCTAGGACGCTGTAGCAGCCTCCTGCTAGTGCAGTACCAGCTTCTTCCAGCAGGAGGTGCTACAGGAAGTCCTCTGCTACTCTAGGGTACAAAGCAGGAGAGTAAAATCATAGAATCCGAGGGTGGAAAGAGACCTCAGGAGCCATCAAGTCCAGCCCCCTGCCCAAGGCAGGACCAACCCAACTCAATCAACCCAACCAGGGCTTGGCCAAGCCGAGACTTAAACACCTCTAGGGACGGAGATTCCACCCCCTCCCTAGGGAATCCATCCCAGCGCTTCACCACCCGCCTAGAAACCGACCACCAACCGTGGCATTAATCACGACCTATTGAGTGGAGCGATCTCCTCCGCCTTCAGACCACGGGGGCTACACGCGTGGGTTTCTTTTGTAACATCCGGATGGTCAATCGTGAGATGCCACCACATGGGCGTGGACCCAGAACCTCCTGGCCCAAATCGGACTCCAGCCTGCCCCCTGCAGGATGAGCGTGGGTTAGGGGGGAGACCCGGGCCGTGGCCCATGTTATCAAAACGCTGCCCCCGTGAGCGAAAAACGGTTTGCGGTGAGTAGACACGCTTTAATGGTGGGTGTCCTCTGTGTTCCTTCTAGGAGCGAGAAAAACGGTGGCTTCTTTTAGCTCCTCTGCTTTGTCGAAGGAAAAATGCAAGAGATGCGTCGGAGAGGTAAGGGGAAAAACATGGAAGTCGGGAAAACGGGGATTACCGACCCGGATCAGACCTGGGGGATCCTGTCTCTGAACGTAGCCGGCACCATGAGAGTCAGGAGGTAATAGTCTACCTCCGCATTGGGACTCGCCGCCGAGGGTACGTCTCCCGTATGAAACTGGGTCCGATTTATTCAAGTCGACTTTTTAGCAGCCATTTTCACAAAGTTAATCTTGGTCCTCAGATGAAGCGTCCCTACCCGATACCGTTGACGTGAACAGGGATACATTGTGGGTAATCATCCAACAAGCCCTGGGCTAGACTCCCAGGGCCTGATGGGAGAAAAACCCGGTGTCACGGCTGATTCTGGAACCGTGTAGCAGTGGCTGCAAAACTTTCACATGCGTAAGGCCGCTTTCATGGAAATTGGCAAATTGTTCCCCCTGCCCTGGAATGCAGCAGGACCAGAAGGAGACCACTCAATCGGGAATCAATTTGGAGTGGGGGGGATCTACAGGGGAGGCTGTTACAATCCACGAAGGCATGGCAATCGATACCTTTGAACGGGGAAGGATAGTGACGTGGGACCATGCAGGACACGGTGGATGGCTAGGGACATCAGTCCTACCCATTCTGACTGATAGCCACGGATGAACCTATCCTCCATGAACGTATCTAGCTCTTTTTGGAACCCTGTTCAAGTCCCGGCCGTCACATCATCCTCTGGCAAGGAGTTCCACAGGTTGACTATGAGCTGTATAAAGAGTTGCCAGGTGTCTGGTATTGGCCCGGTTTAAAAAAAAAAAAAAAAAAACAGAAAATTTTACATGCCCGGTATTTTCTGTTTTGCTCGGACGGAAGACTACTGCGACATTCTTCCCCCGCGACGTCTGGTGGGGGCGGGTGTTCAGAATTCTTGGTGAAACTATCTGGCAAGCCTAAGAAAAGTGTCCTTTTGTTCCTTTGCAACCTGTGGGTTGATCTAGTCCCTGTTTGAAGTCCTGGCCTTCACGCCATCCTCCGGCGAGGAGTTCCACAGGTGGACTGTGTGCAGCGGGAAGCAAAACGTCCTTTGGTTTGTTTGAAACCTGCTGCCTGTTCATTTCATCTGGTGACCCCCTCGTTCTTATGTTACGTTACCCTGGTGAAGCCACCCTCCTCTCTGTATTTCAGACTCTTCCAGAGGTAACGCCGCAGATTGTCCTAGACCCGGAGAGGAACAAGACCATCTACAGGTAAGGCGCTCCAGGATGTGATGTGAGAATGGCATTTCTCAAAGGTGACCACCAGGAGCTTTTCGTGTAGGTGATGGGGGGCGGGGGATAACTCTCACCTACCCTCCCTGTTGCTCCTGACCTGCACCGCCTCTGGAGACAGGTGGAACATGATGCTAGAGGACCAAGGTGAGTTCTTGAGTCACCTTGAAGTGGTGAACCAGCAGGGCTTGGACTTCCGCCCTGGGAGGGGTTGGGGAGCTAACTCTTGCAGGAAACTTTGGGGACCCATCCATCCGGCCTTGGGCTCTGGTTCTGGACACAGACCCCCATCTTCCCTCATGTGATGGTGGGCCCATACCCTCCCCATCTCCCGTCCTTCTCCCATTCCGGGGCAAAGTCCATACTGAGGGGGTTGCCGATATCCATGATATAAACACCCGTGCGCATCTCGCTTTTCACAGCCAGCGGAGAGCCCGTGAAAAGACATCCTCCTAGATCTGTGAACCTCACTTTGCCCAGATTCCCAGCGAGCTGGTAAAAAAGGGGTGTCAACGACCCATTTCCCTAGGAGGGTGGGGAAGCTCTAGAATGGGTTCCCTAGGGAAGTGGTGGAATCTCCGTCCATAGATGGTCTGGCTTGACGAAGGTCTAGCTAAGTGGACTGAGTTGGGATTGGTCCTACTTTGGACTTGATGAGCTTCTGAGGTCCCTTCCCACCCTAAGCTTCTACGAGTCTACTTGCAACAGCCTGCTTTTTCGGAGGCGGCGCAAAGAAAGACCCATAGAAATCCATTCCTGTGATGCGTTTTGCCTCCAGAGATTCGGCCGTGTCCAGTATTTTTGGTGAAACTACCTGGCAACCCTAAGAAAAGCGGCCTTTTGTTCCTTTGCAACCTGCTGGTTGATCTAGTCTCTTTCGGAAATCCTGGCCTTCACATCATCCTCCGGCGAGGAGTTCCACAGGTTGACTGTGGCTGCATGAAGAAAAGCGTCCTTTTCTTCCTTTGAAACTTGCTAGTGTATCTAGTTCCTTATGGTACCCTGTTTTGAAGTCCTGGCCTTCACATCATCCTCTGGCGAGGAGTTCCACAGGTTGACTGTGGCTGCATGAAGAAAAGCGTCCTTTTCTTCCTTTGAAACTTGCTAGTGTATCTAGTTCCTTATGGAATCCTGTTTTGAAGTCCTGGCCTTCACATCATCCTCTGGCAAGGAGTTCCACAGGTTGACTGTGTGCGGCAGGAAGCAAAACGGCCTTTGGTTTGTTTGAAACCTGCTGCCTGTTCATTTCATTGGGTGACCCCGAGAATCTGGAGGATTCTGGACTCCCAACTACAGAAAGGAGGTGGACGCATTGGAGAGGGTCCAGCGGAGGGCGAGCTAAATGATTCGGGGGCTGGAGCACATGACCTATGAGGGGAGGCTGAGGGATTTGGGTTTGTTCAGTCTGCAGAAGAGAAGAGCGAGGGGGGATTTGAGAGCAGCCGGCAACTTCCTGAAGGGAGGTTCCAAAGAGGATGGAGAGAGGCTGTTCTCAGTAGTGACGGATGCAGAACAAGGAGCGATGGGCGCAAGTTACAGTGGGGTGGGTCTAGGTTGGATATTAGGA